GCTGTAGGGCAAATACTTCCAGCACCACTTGGATCTTAGAAGGAAACATTCCTGATGGAGAGCGTAGTGGATCTGAAAGCTGGGCACGGGGAATTGAGAAGACCGAGAGTCAGTGATGTCTCCGTGGCAATCGGAAGCACACGAATGCACTCACAGGGCATGCATTCACAACTGGTGTTCCATCCAGAGAATGCCATGTCAGTGCTGCAGATCCAGGGCCTGCTCAAGTTTACCGTGTGGTATCTGGTCTTCTAAGTAAACTTACAACTGAGAGACAGTCAGAAGCCCTCCTATAAGTACTGACTAGACAAGGTGGAGCAAGGCTAATATGCCCGGGCTGATCTGATCAGCGGAGGTAGAGAAGTGGAGTAAAGTTTAATGATCTGGGTCCCTGGGAGAAAAAACTTGGACCTTAGTTCATGAGGTTGAGCAAGTTTTGAAGCATTCTTTGGAATAGAATCTGAGAATGATTTCTGGAAAAGGCAAATTTTTCTGCATCAAATAATAATGTTGAGTCTTCAAGAGTGAGGGCAGGAGAAGGAAGAGGACAGACACTGAGAGAGAAGCTGGTAAAGAGGTGAGGCCCAGTTCAGTTACAGGCTACAATATGACTATGAGCATATTGCCTGCTTTTCCAGAGTTGCCTGCACCTGAGAGAAACATGTACCTGTGATCACGCTCTTCCAGGGCTCCCATATGAGATGAAAGAGTGAAGCAGGGTGTCAGTGCTCAGGGTGGGCCAGAACGCCCCAGCGCATGACCCCACCTGCTGGCTCTGAGCGGCAGTTCATCTTTTCCAGTCCTCCAATCCAGCTTCCTCCTTCTCTCCTTCAAAGTTTCGATTCTTAAGAAACCCTTTGTGTCTCAGACTCTTCCTCAACACTAGGTATTGGAGCATCCAACCTCTGACAGTTATTTGACAGATCAACAAAACTATTCATCTACTGTGGGACTGGCAAGTATAAAAGAGAGAATTCACATAAAACTAAGAGGAGTAATGGAAAAAGAAGCTACACTGTAATGGCCATAGAGATAAAGGTACCTAATGAACAGTTTTAGCCAAAACAAATAAAAGTATATCCCCAAAGCTCATATTTGAGACAAACATAGTGTAAGAATAACCTGTATCATTATATAAATATTTATAAAATATAAATTTTAATTTCTACAAATTATTTCAAAGCTGAAAAAAACGTAAAAATTGAATTATGCATAATGATTAACTATCAAACTTATAGCTAAAAACTACCCTTAAGGGACCATTTAATAGAAATCATGTAAAACTTCTGTAAAATCTTTGGGATAGGGATAGGCATACTTTCTAACTTATTTTTGAGCTCTCTGGTATCTTATATAGCAAAACACTTCAGAGAGATTGTAAGTAAGGAAAATTTCAAGCCATTCTCATTTGTAAATGCTGATGCAAAAGTTGCTAGTGAAACATTAACAAAACATCCTACAATAAACAAGGAAAACTAAAGGGACATGCCTAACTTGAGTTTTTGCAGAAAGATAAAGTTGTTCCTTGAAAATCAGTGAACAGAATTAATGATAGAAGGGCTGGGGATTTAGCTCAAAGGCACAGTGCCTGCCTGGCAAGCGCAAGGTTGTGAGTTTGATTCATGGTACTGGAGAAAAACCAAAAAATAAAATAAAATAAAAACAAAAAAACAGAATTAATGATAGAATCATACAGTATTAACATTCATAAAATTACAAATATCATTGGACACATAATAATTTTGTGAAAAGTGGCATTTACTCTGATAGAAAACCTCATTGTGGGAACAACAGAAGGTGAGAAAGCTCTCTGATAAAGATAATTACAAAAATATCCTAGAAAATATACTTAAGTGTGAAATGTTGAGAAATGTACTCTGATACCTGCAGAGAAAAGACAGCAATTTTCACCACCACCACCACGTCCACCACTCTCCTCTCTCTAGGGATTTCAACCATTGCAGTAAAGCAATACTAAAAGATATGTTGAGCTTCACTATACAAAATGGTAGGAGTTTAACAATGGTTCTTATACTGTATATTGTTTCACATCAGTCATTCTAATTACCAAATTCAAGCATGTAAAATTGGTCAAGAAAAAAAGAAAATTTTACACATTGACTGTTCTTCTCAATAAACTGCAGGCATTAGCAGTACACCTATTCCACCTATCTTTATATATACAAATGTTGTTCTGTCATTTTTAAATTTTTAAAATAAAAAAATTAAAAAAGAAAGATATGTTGAAACAAAGCCGAAAGAAGCTGACCCTACTTGTAGTGATATGATGAGGCAAAAAGTAAAGCCTACAGGAACTACCAATTATGTATTAGAAGTAAAAGTAAGTTTAGTGGTTTAAAAAAATGACCTAATGTAAATTGACTTTCTTTTAATATATTTGGTCAACATTTAGAAAAAGATTCTTTATAAGGTTGTTAACAGTGACATAAATTATTAAAAAAAGACCTAATTAAAAAAAAGTCAGACCTTATAAAAAAAGACCTAATATAAATTGACTTTCTTTTAATATATCTGGTCAACATTTAGAAAAAGATTCTTTATAAGGTTGCTAACAGTGACATAAATTATTATCTGATATTTAAGAATGTAAATAGAAATGTATAAAATAATACTGAGAAATATTAATGCCTCAATTAATTGAATGGCACATTATTGGATGTCAAACTCTTATATCCAATATATTTCACTTCTCCCTTGATACATTACAAATAAAATTCACAATATGTGTCTTTATGGTTGAGTATAATTTTAAAAGTTCCATCACAGTGGTACCTTAGGTTTACACACTTTCTTTTACAATCTTTCAGAAAGATTGCTCTGTCTGTGTTTGTGTAAAGAAGATGCCTGGGGTCATTGTCACAAGGAAAGCTCAATGCAGAATACTTTATTTGAGAACTGAACTATATGAAAACATAAACATTGGTGAACTGGGGTGTTATTGCATTTTTAACACAGGAAAAGTACAAACTTTTGTACTTTTGTGCATTTTTGTGCATTTTCAAACAATATAGATCACATTAGAAATCAACTGATAAATTGTTTCTAAAGTTATGAAACAAAAACAATTTAGGAAAGCCAAGATATAAAGAAAAGCAATGCACTGATGTGTAGCACTCCACAGTAAATTTTGTGGCAGTCATATTTAGTACAAATCCTTGATCCTTGTTGTTGCTTAAAAATGGATGTTAGAAACATGACTAATGATTCTGTTTAGTGAGAAATGGTAACGGTCTTGTAATGGAAAGACCCATTCTTGTGACTCATTATCATGGTTCTCTAGCAGGCGTCTAATTAAAACTGTCTTTAGGCTGAAAGAATGACACTAATTTTCTAGGGCTGTAAACTCCTCTCTCCCTGACTGAAAGCTCTGTATTAGAGAAGTTATAATGAATTTACTCTTTTAGGGTCAGTGGAGAACAGAAAACGATTACATCTGAAAGGACTGAGAAGCATAGATGTGCTAGGGATGCATTTCTATTATTTTCAGGATTCCTGACCATATACACTTGCTGTAGCTGGGGTCAAAGGATGTTTAGAATGGCCTCATCTCTGGGGATTCACCAGAGTTTGGTTCCAATCTTTAATGTTGTACCCCTGAGAAATGAGAGCTATTCACAGAAATAGTGGAAGCATTTAAGCTTCACTATTCACACAGTCACAGGTTTTCCAGACCAGTGGTCCAAGGAGCATGAAAATTATAGCATCTATAATTAGGTGATTCTTATCAAATGATGGATAGACCAAAGACAGCAAAAACTAAAAGTACATAAAGAGAGACATAAAGAAAGAGAGTGAGACAGAGAGAGAGAAACAGAGAGAGAGAGGTAAATGAAAAATACCGTGACTATAGTGGAGAAAATTTGAGTTAGAAAAAGACAAAATGCAACTGTGAGTGATTTGAAAAATGTGTTATTTCACAGCAAATTAAGTGATCATAGTGCATAATTGTCATGCACATATTTGAGGTAAGTTTTCATTTCAAATCACAAATAAATATTAGGTATATTGCCGCACATTTTGTGTTAATATGTAATTATAAAGTGTAAGATTATGAGAAGGACAATGTAAACTTTCCTCAAAAGGAGAAAAAAGAGGTATCAACCTTTGTAAAACATTTGAAAAGCTTGACACATTATAATATCCTGTTCCAATATTTTTCAGAACTTTTAAAATAAGGTGATCAGTGGAGAATAGTATCTGAAATGCAGCTAAGAGGATAGAGAGGCTGTCAGAAAATCAAGTGAACTTTACTAGTTTTTCCTTAATTAGTTGGATTAGGTGAATCACCGGCCTGAGACCTTTTAAGCATTCACTATTTCAAGCAGAGCTCATTATTCTCAATCCCTTCCTGCTAGGTCTCTTTCAACCTCCAAGTATTTAAACTGCATTAAAATCAATGAAGAACCACAATGACTCATTTCCAGTGCTCTGTAGAAAGAAATTGAAACAACAGTAAGAAAGGGACTGAGAAAATGTGAAAGAATGATGACAGTAAAGAAGTGAGAGGATTAAAAAGGAAAACTTTCCATAAAATCAGTAGAACCATGAGTAGGTAGTGGACAGAGATAGTGGAAACTGGTGAAAGGGTACAAATTCGAAGTCATGTAGGGTGAATAAGAATAGCTATCTAATATACAATACCATGTGTAGAATACAGTTAATATTGTTTGTTATATATTGAAAAATTCCTTATTGTTTTCAGTTCTTCAGTGAAAAACCAGACATTTTTTTGTGAAAGTTAACCATTTTTATGTGGCACACACATTTGTTCCAGGATTTGGTGCCCTTTAATTTGGGAAAATATTTCTTACATAAGATTCATGAGATTCTTCCTTTCTTCTCATGTGAGAAAAGAAGAAATACATATTTTGAACTGGTAGCAAGTATGTCTTGCTTGTACTCACAGGAGATAACTTTGAAGGACAAGGAAAATAGCAAAGAACCTTTTTCACAAGTTGTCACATAAAGCAAGCACCACCATGTTGATCTGGAATAGCAGTGATACTATGGAGCCCATACTTTTTTAAAGGGTTTTCCTGGGTTGGAGCATGTTCATTGCTGGCTCTCTGTCCCACTCTGTCTTGCATACGTGGTGGCCGTGACTGGTAATATCACCATCCTCTCAGTCATTTGGCAAGAGTCATCTCTCCACCAGCCCATGTATTACTTCCTTTCCATCTTGGCAGTGACCGACTTGGGCATGTCCATGTCCACAATTCCCACGGTGCTCGCTGTGCTGTGGTTTGATGTGCGGGAAATTCGGGCAAATGCTTGTTATGCTCAGCTCTTCTTCATCCACACCTTCACCTTTCTGGAGTCTTCGGTGCTGCTCGCTATGGCCTTTGACCGTTTTGTTGCAATCTGTCGTCCGATGCACTATTCTACCATCCTCACCAACAATGTGATTGGCAAGATTGGTTTGGCCTGCCTGCTCCGAAGCATGGGAGTTGTCCTGCCCACGCCTTTGCTCCTGAGACGCTATCACTACTGCCACAGCAACGCCCTGTCCCACGCCTTCTGCTTGCACCAAGATGTTCTGAAGTTATCCTGCTCAAATGCCAAGATCAACAGCATTTATGGCCTGTGTGTAGTTATTGTCACTCTAGGTGTGGACTCGGTCCTCATACTTCTTTCCTATGTGCTGATTCT